CTAGACAAATAATCATTGAGCACATGCCACTATAAATATATTAAAAAATGCAATAAAATCTATAGAACTGAATGTAAAAATTTATTTTTAGTTTTTTAATAGCTGTTTAATTGTTCTAATTAGTAGAATAACATGAAAAAAACAGTTTACTTAAACGTAATTTATTCACTAAAATATATAGTTATATGTATTTTTGTGAATTAAGCAGCCTGACAGTTTAAATAGAAATAACAAGCGGTTGTGATTGACTGCACTTCTGCTAATTAATACGTTCAACCCTCTATAAATATATAAATATTGTAAGATAATTTAATTAGATACAATTCCATAAGCTCTGGAACTTGGCAAACTATGCTACAGAATCTACAGAATCAGTGTGTAATAATGCAAATGAAATAAAGTCATTGCTTTTAATGTATATATTTTTTTAGTTTAACTTTTCTGTTTATTTTATTTTATTTTATTTTGTTGTTTGTTGTTTTTCCCTAAAATATGTATTTATTTCACTTATGCAAAGAACTTAATGCCAACGTGCTTAATACTTGCCTGCTTGCAAAAGGTAAAGTTAAAAATTTTAAATTTCACTCTATCTACCGCCCATCCACCCACATTTTCCTTCAGCATCCTTTAAAAAGTATTTTTTCTTTTGACATTTGCAGCAACTATGGTATTTTCATTGCATATCCTTAACAGTGTACTATAGTTTGTATATAAACACTTTTCACAACAAATGAAGTGTGCAATGTAATCGTATCTATGTACAGAGTATGCGTGTCTCTAGAACGTGTGTAACATTCTGATTTTTTTCCAGTGTTTCTACACATTTTTCATACTTTTCTCTAGTGTTTTCCACTTGTTCAGTTACTACAAATTCTGTGTGTACTACTTAAAAGCTTTTAGGTTTTGTTCAACTTATTAATAGAGTGTTACATATACTATATACTACACTATACTATATATTATGGATATTACGACACAGTGCAGTAGGAAAAACTGCAGATTGTTGTATTTTATTTATGATTTTATTTTGATTTTGTAAAATCCTGCCGTTGCGATTAAATTTTTTTTCTCCGATAATATAAAAATGTAATATACTTCATTGTTTTGCCATTGTTAAATTATTGATTTGCTTATAAAAAAAAATTTTATACAAAGAAATGTTATATATCAAGTGTTTTTCTCTTTATGCTGTACTATATTTATAATTTATCATTAATGTTTAAATATGTTTATTGATTTTGACAACCTTCAGTAGAACGACTAAAAAAAATTCATCAATTATCAAAACAATCCCGAGACTGTTTTTAATAAATTCTTTGCAGTTGAAAATGTTCATTCGTAGAAAACTAGAATATTATTACTTTAAAGAGTTTATATGTTTTTCATTACTATACCTTTTTTTTTTTATATCCATTTTACATTACAAACTTTAGATTTCGTACGAAAGGAATCTAGAGGATGTATTCACATTCCATATTTGCTCTCAGAACAGTTGTAATCAAAAAATGTGAAGATATATGTGAAAAATGAGAGATAACTAAACCAATTTGAGCGAAAATGCGAGAAGTTTTGCAGAGATTCTGGTATAAGATGAGCGACAAAA